TAACCTCCGAGCCATCACTCCAGCCTGATTGACTTTTTTTTTTTTTTTAGCTTTCCCAAGTTTTCAGCATTCCTCAGACTCCACACAGCACTATGTGCTGTTTTTAATGTCTGTTGATTACTCATGTATCATATTGATTCTCACTTCCTTTCTTGAGCTGTTTCTCTTTACTGAATGTTTCTTTCTTACACCGAACTTGTCTATCTTAAAGCTTTAACATTGGGTTTAGAGAGATGGCGTAGGAGTTAAGAGCAATGGCTGCTGTTCCAAAGAACTCAGGTTCGACTCTCAGCACCCATGAGGCAGCTCACAGTCATTTGTAACTCCAGTTCCCAGGGCTCTGATGCCCTCTTCTGGTCTCTGGGCACTAGGCACACACCACAACTGGCACATCAAAATACATGCAGGCAAATTACTGTAGACATAATTTTTTAAAGTTTAATATTATCGGTTACATAAAAAGTAATTAAAATGTTGTAAATAATTGTTTCCTCTGATTTCCAGCAAGTCGTTCATCTTAACTTAGCTGAGGATTGCATGAATAAATTTAAGCTGAATATTGAAAAGCTTTGCAAAACTGAGCAGGTATGTACAGATTCAGAAACACCCACATCTGTAATAGATTTTCAGAGTGACTTTGTAAGCTGGCATGTAATGTTTTTGCTCAATACAGTGGTTGAATTCCACAAAATCATAGATTCTTAGAGGGGGACTCGCCTAGGCAGTATTCACCTAGGCAGTGACTGGGATTCACTCTCTGATGGCTTTGTGTTGTGATAACAGATACCTGGAATGGTAAGTTTCTAATGAGAAAAGGCTTATTTTGGCTTACATATTTGGTTGGTTGAATTTGGGTTTGGTGCTGGGACATACTTTGTTGAGAATAATTGAGACTTACACAGACTACAAAGATAAAAAAGAAGTAAAATTAATGTTGGTAGTAAATTTGACCTCACACTATTGTTTCATTGTGTGATTAACATACAACTGTTAATGAGTATTTTCTGTTCTTTCACAAGATTCAGAAACCCATTGCTCTGCACCCAGAGCACACCTCCCTGACTCACTGAGTATGTCAGAAGTACGCATACCCGCACTGTTAGTGCTTCCGCAGTGGCTAGCTCAGGTTTACGTGATTTTCTTCCCCTTTAATTTGCTTTATGAACTTTGTGTTTTATGCAGTGAGTAGCTCACATCTAACATTCACGATATCATCAGTGTTGCACCAACATTTGACAATTTAATAATAGATACTTCTAACAGAAAAGCAAATTTGGACTGTAGAGCACTGTCTGCATTTTACTGTCGTTCAGGACCTGGCACTTGGAACAGATGCGGAAGGTCAGCGGGTGAAGGACTCCATGCTGGTGCTCCTCCCGGTGCTGCTCAACAAAAACCATGACAACTGCGACAAAATCCGAGCAGTCCTGCTCTATATCTTCGGCATTAATGGTAATGGAGTGCCAACTTGTTCCTGAGAATGTATTAAAGTACTAACTCTAAGTCACTTAGATTCTGTCAGTTATACCATATTATTTATATCTGTGTGTGATGGGAATGGTGCATGTCACAGGCTGTGACTAGGGATGATTTTATATCCAGATTATGACGCCCTCCAACACTAGTCGGTACCCACATGCTGTCTACTGTGATCTTGCAGTGTCGGTTACATTTTGAGATTCTGTTTTCTCCTTTCACCATGTGGGTTCCCGGGATCAAACCCAGGTTGACAGTCTTGGCAGCCAGCACCATTAGTGACTGAACCATCTCCCTAGCCCCAGTCAAATTTTAATAACTAGTTTGTTACTCACCGTAAGGGAGGCTTGAAAACCTTAAGGTGAATACAAAGAAAATAGGAAACTGAGAGAAAGCTAGTGGGGATGTAAATTCGCTTTTCTTTTTGAGCTTTTGTCCTTGTAGAAATTGCTTCCGTCCTAGAGTCAGTTACAGCAGGGGTTCTCTGACTGCACTCCTGCTTTCACTTTTCCAAGGAACAACTGAAGAAAATTTGGACAGACTGATCCACAATGTAAAGATAGAAGATGACAGCGATATGATTCGGAACTGGAGTCACCTTGGTGTTCCCATTGTTCCCCCAGTAAGGAAGTCTTTGTCTGCATCTGTGTATATGTGTGTATGTGTATCTCTGTGTGTGTGTACATGTGTACGTGTGCATGCATTAACTACTTTTGGAGTCAGTCACATTCCTGTTGCTCCTTGAGGTCCTTGCTTGAACTACTTTTGTATCTGGGAATCTTAGAGATGCTCTTAACTTGATCTTACAGAATTTGATTATTAAGTAAGCAATTAGGGTTTTTTGTTTCTGTTTTCATTTTCTGAGACAAGGAGTCATGTAGTCTAGGCTGGCCTCAAACTTATTGTGTAACCAAGATGTCCACCTTTGAAGTGATGGGCTACAGGTGTGTGCTCACACAGCCAGCGTATGTGTTGCTGAGAGCTGCTGGGCTATCACCCTACCACCTGAGCTATATACCTGTGCCAGTGTTTTGTTTTTACATGTAATCTGAGTAAATAAAATTTTAATAAGTAAATAATACAATTTCTGTTAAACTTATATTTTCTGGCTTCTATTATAATTTACTATTTAAACTTTTTATGATTCATTTGTACCAGTGGTTGCATTTTATATCCACCCTTCTATCAGCACTGCTAAAGTACAGAATACTATTCAGTGGCCCAGCATGTACCAAACTAGTATGATAGTTTTTTCTTTTTAAAGTGGGCAGTTTTGCTCTAAAATGTAATACAGATTTGCTAGTAATTAAATGTCTGTTAGGAAATTATATCACTCAATGAAATTATTTGTTCCTTTAATTGTATTAGTCTCAGCAAGCCAAACCACTAAGAAAAGATCGGACTGCAGAAGAGACTTTTCAGCTTTCTCGATGGACACCTTTTATCAAAGATATCATGGAGGTAAAAATCCAACCTTCTGAGCAACCTCTGAACACCTCTGTGGGTTATTCTTTCCTTTGTTTACTGTCAGTGTGACAAAGAAGCTTCTTTGAAGTCTTAAGGACCTCAGAATAATTCTCCACTCTCTGTAAATAAAAACGAGTGTGTCCATGCTTCATAAAAAATCACTGAGTGAATATGCTTTTAGTTCTGATTGCTCTTAGAAAGTGACATTAAGCTGGGTGTGATGGCGTACTTGGGGAGGCAGAGGCAGGTGGATCTCTGTGAATTCAAGGCCAGCCTGGTCTACAAAGCAAGTCCAGGACAGCAGGGACACACAGAGAATCCCTGTCTTTAAATAAAAACCGAAAAGGAAAGAAAGAAAATAATATTAATTTATAAGAATTATAAGCTGAACTAATTTTAAAATTACCTTAGGAGCTCAATGAAAAAAAACATTTATTCCAGCTTTCCTTTACCTAATTATAGTTCTAATTTCTACTTTCCTTTGGGTGCTGACATTTTTACTATTTTTGGTTTTTTTTAATAATTAAATTTATTTATTTTTATCAATTACAGTTTACTTACTTTGTATCCCCCCCATAAGGCTCTCCCTCCTCCCCTTCCAGTCCCCTCCTCCCTCCCCCTTTTTCACGCATGCCCCTCCCCACGTCCACTGATAGGGGAGGTCTTCCTCTCCTTCCTTCTCATCTTAGTCTATCAGATCACATCCGGAGTGGCTGCATTGTCATCCTCTGTGGCCTGGTAAGGCTGCTCCCCTCAGGGGGAGGTGATCAAAGAGCAGGCCAATCAGTTCATGTCAAAGGCAGTCCCTCTTCCCATTACTATGTAACCCACTTGGACACTAAGCTGCCATGGACTCCATCTGTACTATTTTTCTGTTTTTAATAACTAATTTTACATTATTTGCAAATGAGTGAACATATCTGAAAAAACCTAAAGAACTTAGATTTTATCTTCTGCAATGTAAGTTGCCTCCCACTGCCACAATGATTATACAGAAATAGGTTTTTTAAAATGAAAATCAACTTGTTCAAACTCTTTAACAAGGTTTGTATGCTAAATCCAGAAACTGTACTTTGGGTCTGTGGCTGTCCTAGGCTCTTTAGATTTCTCCTAACTTAAAGCACAATGTCTTCTCTAGCAACCTTATTAAAATCTTCTTGAACTGCTTTGTCATTCCTGTGTCCACTTTTGAGTGCCTTTGTGCTTGTCTATAAAGCAAGTTGTATTGACTAGCTAATGAAGGATGTGACCATATAAATTATGAGCATGAACCTGCTGATTGACCAAATACATACTGCTTTGTTAATAAAGCAATCATAACCTGTTTATACATCATAAACATAGACATAAGCATATCCTAAATGTAGCACTGAGAAAGGGGGGAGTTTTGTAAACATACGGTCTGCAGCCATCAGACTTTCTTCAGTGTCTCAGGTTAGGGATGTGTACTCTGTTTCAGAGGCACTGCTATGAGGGACAGTGGCCTGGGGTGCCAATTAGAAACTTCTAGCCTTGCTAGAGCTGAAAGGGCCTCATACCATTGCACAGCGTCAAGAGAGAAAGGCAGATCTGAAATACGTGTTTGTTCAATATGTGAGTAAATTAGTATATTAGTTTTTAAATTTCTTTTTATTAATTACATGTATGTGTGTCTATATGCGTACATATACGTACATACATACATCCTCTGGAGCTAGAGTTACAGGCAATTGTAAGCTGCCCAATGTGAGTACTGGGAACTGAATTTGAATCCTCCAGAAGAGCAGTGAGTGCAGTTCACCACTGAGTAATCTCTCTAGTCCTAGTGTGTTGATTTTTGCTGAAAGTAATATTCATAGGTGTAAAGAAGTGATCTTACTAAATACTTATGTTTTAATGTTCATTAGAGCTGTGTACAAAACAAATTTCTGAAATTACGTTTTCTTGATGGTGTTGATGGTTTTCTTCTCTAGGATGCCATTGATAATAGATTAGATTCCAAAGAATGGCCATATTGTTCCCGGTGCCCAGCAGTGTGGAATGGCTCTGGAGCTGTAAGGTAAACCTATAAATCACTGAAATGTTTACGCTGAGATACTGCAGACCAATAGTTAAAAATGTTGCTCTAATGTTATCTTTGTAGACGTATTCTCTTTGAAACATACAGCAATGCAAAAGGTAGTTTTTCTTCAACTATAAGCTAACTAAATGAATTCAGGAAAGCATACTGTATAACTCAGAATACTTTCATAAAGCTGTCACCTTCCACACATCTTTTTCCTTACGTAGTATAGTTGCTTCCTTACCTCCCTTCCATTTCGTTCAGTTTTCTTTTTGTCTTTTTGCTTTTTTTCTTCTTTTCTTTCCATTTCATCTCCTGTTTTTTTGAGGCAGGATCTCACTGTATAGCCAAGACTTCTAATCCTCCTGCTAAGTAATCACACCCCACTTGCTTTAATCCTTTTTGATAATTTTTTAAGTATTTGGAACCTCGGGGAGACAGAATATTCTCATGCATGCTCTTGCACTTAGAGCCGAGCTTAACCAATTAAATATAATTTGAGCTTCCTGTGTTTCATGATCTGATTTTATTCTCCCTTTTTTCTTACTTGTCTTAGTTAACCATTTACCTGTGTCCATACTTTTTTCTAACTGCACTTTTACCTTGTGTAATGTATTGAATTGTGCTTTGTGAGACTTTCTCTTGATACTTGGAGTCTATCAATTTGACTGTATTATGTCAACACACAATTCTCTCATGTTTATTTTCCCTTGGGGTTTGTAGTGTTCTAGCCTCTTCATTAGGTTTGGGGTTTTCTTGAGATATTATGTTTGAGGTGCTTTGTTGTTTCCTAGTCCCCTTCTCTCTCCTAAATTCAGATTTGTGCTGTTCTGGAGTCACTGAGCTCTGCATCTGTTTTCTCTGTGTTCTTCAGTTGTCTCATACCTATTTATCTTCAGTTCCTTTGAATGTCATAGCTGCTCTTGAGCTCATTGCTGACTTTATATTTCATTGTGCAGCACATCCACATTTGCCATTGGTTCCTGGTAGTTTCCGTTACTGGCTTTTGTTTTGTTAGTTTGTGGTGCTGACCCTGAAACCTAGGGCTAGACAAGTGCCTTAACCCTGAGTCAGCATCAGTTCTTCTGTTGTTTCTGAGGGCACGGCATTGGTTACCTTGACATTTTGAAGAACTTTCTATTCAGATAGATACAGATTTGGTGTAGATACAAAGATACTGTATAGATATAATGTGCTTTGAAGTCTTTGCTCAATCCAGACTCTGCTTTTACTGAGCTGAGTTTCTATCAGAGCTGACTGAGCTGTTCCTCTACATAGGGGCCTTTTAGATTATGGGGTACATTAACTGTGGACCGCGCCGTCTCTCTACATATGACCTTTTAGGTAATGTACTAGGTTAACTGTGAGCTGCTTTCTGTGGTGACTTTTTAAAGTTTGGGGTTTTTTGAGACAGGGTTTTCCTGTGTATCTCTGGCTGTCTTGGAACTCACTGTGTAGACCAGGCTGGCCTCAAACTCAGAGATCCACCTTCCTCTGCTTTCCCAGTGCTAGAATTAAAGGTGTGTACCATCGCTGCCCAGCTAAAGGTTTATTTTTAATTACATGTATGTTGGGGGAAGTGTGTGCATGTGTGTGCAGATACTCACAGAGCCCATGAGTATCTGGAGTCACAGTTATGACCCAAAGTCCTCTCCAAGAGGACTCACTCTGTGAGCCGTCTCTCCAGCTCCCTGTGTAATGATTTGTGTGGACTTACTCTGGGCGTTTTCTCTTGCTGTAAATGGCTACGTAGCTCTTCCTGAGATTTTGACTTTGCAGCTTGGCTTTGTGGTTGTTTCTGTCTGTAGTTAGCCGTCAGCTAGTTGTGTAGGCAGACACTGTCAGATACTTCAGGCATGTCCCTATCATCCCCCACTGAGTACACTGAGGATTAAGGAGTACACTCTAACATAGCCAGCTCTCCAGGCTCACTCTTTTCCTTCCCTTCTTTTCCTACATGTTTTCCCCTTCATGTAAATAGTTGAGCAGTAATGTAGCAAAGCCTACAGAGCCAAAACCTGGTTTTGTTTGTTTGTTTGTTTGTTTGTTTTTTCTCCCAGGGGGTTGATGTTTCCTCACTTCCTGGACTTCTTGTTCCGTTTGTGACAGATGTGATGGCACATTGCAGGCATCTCTGCTCAGGTCTAGACAGTCGTCTTGTTGTGGACTTGCAGCAGTGGCTGACACAATACCGTGCCAGATCACAGTCTGCCCTGACCTCCTCTTCTTGTCTGCAGATCTCATTCTTGCAAGGCTACGCCTCTGATTTCCTAAAAAATGTCATCAAATGGACTTTTCAGGGATGTATTAGGTCTTCATATACAATAAAAGAGGGGGCCGGAAGGATGGCTCAGAGGTTAAAAGCACTGGCTGATCTTCCAGAGGATCCAGATTCAGTTCCCAGCGCCCCATGGTGGCTCACAATTGTTCATAACTTTAGTCCTACAGGATCCAACACCCTTCTGCCCTCCATAGGTACTGCATACACATGGTACACAGTCTTACATGTAGGCAGAACACTCATACACACATACACACAAAATTAAAATTTAAAACTATTTTAAACATTAAAATAAAAAGTTAGCTTTATAAGTAAAAATGCTGAGCTCTAGTCAAAACTCAGTCTACTGAGTGGTTTTTATTTTATTTTTTTGAAATACGGTTTTATATATGTATGTATATATATGTGTGTGTATATATGTGTGTGTATGTATAATATATCTTCATCCTAGCTAGCCTTTAACTCTTTGTCCTACTTTTTCATCCTTGTAAATAAAACTAAGTATTTGTTCAGATTGAACTCTTAAAGGGTGCTGTACTGCCTTTCCATAACTGTGGTGAAACTACCATATTTAGAGATTTCATTAAGATCAAGACAATTGCTTCCAAAGGTGAGTTTGATTGTGTGGCTTTGGGAATGTTTATAGCATGTTTGCTTTATTTTTTACTTTTTAGTGCTCGCCAGAAACCCAGAACTAACTATTTAGAGTTAGACCGAAAAAACGGGTCAAGGCTGATAATTTTTGTAATTGGAGGAATTACATATTCCGAGATGCGTTGTGCTTATGAAGTTTCTCAAGCACATAAATCCTGTGAGGTTATTATTGGTAAGACTTCCACCTTTTCATTTCTTAAATGTTTAAGGCAAAATTATACATAGGGAAATTTAAGACTATATTATTACATGTAGAAAAAGAATTAATTATAGAACATGCTTTGTAAAATTGCCTGAATGTTCCCTCCCATTGTTGATATTTTAATAATTTTATTTTTAAATACTCTTTATATTTTAGGGGCTTGAGCTTGCTCCTTTAAAATTATATCTCCTGATTTTATTTGCTCTGATCATTAACTTTGTGACATATGAATATATTTTTACTCCAGGAGTATTTGTTTTTGTGGACATGGATCTGACATTGGTGAGGCCTGTGTGGAACTGAGTTCTAAAATACAAGTCTGGGCCAGCAGGAGGGCTCAGTGTGTAAAAGCTGCTTGCTGAGCAAGTCTGACAGCCTTCAGCCCCAGAACCCACAGTGGTGGGAGAGAACCGCCTCCTGAAAGTGGTCCTCAAGCCCCCACGCTTGTCCACAGCACGCATGTGCTTGCAGTGTGCGTGCATGTGCACACACACGCATAGTAAAATAAATCAGCATTTTTCCAGTGAAGCCATGGTAGATGACCCTTGTCAGCTCTCCTGACCCAAAGAGCTGCAGGGGTGTGTGACGGGCCCGAGTCACAGCACTGCTTAGAGATTCTGTCTGCAAATGACAGCTGCCGCAGTTCCGTTCTGAGGACGGGGAATTCCCCATTTTCCTCTTTACTAGACACCAGCATACAGTACAAAGCAGGCAAAATGCCTGTGACGGGCAGGGTTTCTGAGGAGTTACTGAGCATGCTCAGTGCCAGGGTTGATGTGAATTTTATAGAAATGCCGTTAAAAATATTGTTCCAATGCACCAAGCATTTGTGTATGTGAGGGACAAGATTTTAAGCCAAAGAAAATTGCTTAATTCTGAAAATTTATAATTTCTTCCCCCAGGTTCCACACATATTTTAACACCTAGGAAGCTGCTGAATGATATTAAAATGCTGAATAAATCAAAGGATAAAGTTTCCTTTCTTAAGGAGGAGTAGCTTTTTTATTGTCATTTAGAAGGTTTTTAATATGCTCAGCTAAAACAGATGATGTTGCTGTCATAATTTAAACAATGTAAATAGTCTATGGAGCAATGTGCTTACTTAAGGGAGGTTATGTATTGTTGGATTTGCCATTTCTAGTAATTTAAACACTGTTGCTGCTTTGTACAAGATAGGACATTGAAGTGCTTTCTAATCAGGAAGTTTTCACCTTTGGAGCAGAATCTGTTAAGAGGTTTGGATAATTTTTACAGCCTCCTGTAACATTCTGATTATTCACAGAATACTTATGCTGAAATACAGTGTTGGGGCAAAACAATTTTGAATGAAGAGATTATGAAAGTAAAAACTGTAAATGTATGTATGATAGAATTATTTCCTATAAGTGCAGTTTCTTAAAACTGAAACCCATAATTTTATGTATATAATAATTCCAATTAATATGATGCTTTCACTGTGTATATTACCTGCAAGATAACTCTAAAAGAACAGTTTATATGCTTAAGATCATGTCTGCTTGTTAGAAACGAAAAATAATCATGATCATTCTAAGAGAAAATAAATATATAGTTATCAAAATTTTCTGAGTTTTTCTTTCTTTTTTGACTCTGAATTGGAGCCAGAAAGAAGGAAAGGAAGATTCTGTAAAATTCCCACCAATACCTAAGGACTTTGAAAAACAATATATTCTCTGTGAGGCTTGGTGATGAGGTGGGCCTGCGGGTGTGTGTGTTAGCAAGGAACATATTTATCAGAGCTCTGCTTGATCTTGGAGCATTCCGACTTGGAATTGCTCCTCTTCAGACTTTGTTCTTACAGTAATGCTGCACTTTTTGGCTGCAAACATCTGCCAGCTTCCATGAATATTCCATAGCGTATTTCTGCCAGTAGCACAGCATGCGTGCGCTTAGACTGCTAGTGGCTACCATTGCCTTTGCTGTTGTTTCTTCCAGTGCTGGCACTGAACACAGAGCCTCACTCATGTTAAGCAAGTGCTCTACCAGAGAGAGAGGAGAGAGAGAGAGAGAGAGAGAGAGAGAGAGAGAGAGCGCGAAGAGAGAGATCAGGGGCTTTATTGGAATGACTCACAGACTACGGTCCAGCTAATCAACAGTGGCTGCCTATAAACAGAAGGCACAACAGTCCGGTAGTGTTGAGCCCACCAGGCTGGATGTCTCAGCTGGTCTTCAGTATATGCCAGAACCCAGAAGTAGGCTCTAATGCCAGTGAAGGAATGGGCTTGCTAGGGAGGGCAGGAGTGAGCAGGCAAAAAATAAGGCTTCTTTCTTCCAGCAAAGGTTGTGGCCCAGTTTAGAGGTGAGTCTTCCCAGCTCAGGTGATCTGAACTGAAGATGTGGTCTCCTCACCTCAAAGATCCAAGGTAGAAATGGGTCTTCCCACTTCAAATGACTTAATTAAGCACAACTACCTCACCTCCCTCACAGGTGTGCCCAGCCATTTCTGGGTTTTAGTTAATTCCACATGTAGTCAAGTTGACAACCAAGAATAGCCATCACAATTGTTATGCAAACAGATTCATAACTTTTCTTTTGTCCTCAATTTGCACACTAAGATTATAAATGTACTCATACTCTTCGGGAGCATTTTGAGTTTCTGCAGTTACTTACATCCATCTGGCAGTGATGTTCATGTATGAATGCCTGTGTTCAATATTGTCTTTTAGCAGTTGGCTTTGTTGTGCCTTGCCTCCTCCCCATGAGAGCACTAAGAGGAAAAGCTGGAAGTGAGGTTTCATAGCCGCTGACGTGGAGGTCTGTCATTCCTAGGCAGGACGGAGGCAGGGGCCATCTTTGCAGCTGCACCGCCACAGCCAGGTGTCTGCAGCAGCCACACCACCGTTTTATCGCCCCATTGCCTGCTTCCTACCCATGACGCAGTGCTCGCTGCCTGTCCTCTTGGTTACAGATGGTGACAGTGACCCAGTTTCTATTTTCTATATCTATGGATTTTTCAGTAGTTTTATAAGGACCTCATTCTTCTTTATGTTTGAGATTATAATACAATTACACCATTTCTTCCTTCCTTTTCCTCTCTCCAAACCCTCCCCCTACTCCTCCCTGCTGTCCTTCAAATCCATGGCCTCGTTTTCCATCAATTGTTATTGCATGCATATATACATACATGTTCCTAAATATAACCTGTTCAGGGCGTATAGTGCTAACTTTCTCTCAAATCCCTTTCTGTTTAAAATAGAGGCTGGGCCTGGAGAGATGGCTCGGAGGTTAAGTGCATGTACTGCCCTTCCAGAGGACCAGGGTTCAATTCCCAGTACTCACATAACTGGCTGCCGCATGCATATGGTGCACTTACATACAAGGTGAAAACAGTCACAACTAAATAAAAAACTATTTAAAGAAAAAAGATACCTACAGGACTTTTTCCTGACGTATTCCATGACGTCAGGAAGCACTGGAGGAGACTGGAGCTGACTGTCACAGCACCCCACCCGCAGGCAGGGAAGAGCCACCGGATTCACAGCACCAGGGATGTAGTTTACGTCACTGGCTGGTTTTTCTGGTTTGCTAGTGGAACAGAATGCGAAGAAAGGACATCCCTGAGTCAGGAGACAGGAGAGCGCAGGTTACAGATTGAGCACACTCCCTTGCAGATCAGAACCTGGTAGGTGCTTTCGCTGCCTTTAACAGCTTACCCATTCCTTTATTTCTTGAAGTAGCTGTGTTTCAGTAAGTCATTGGGGAAATTAAAGTTACTTAGACTTCGGTTTAATAAGAAAAAGATGGGACAGGTTTTTAATTAAAAAAAAAAAAATGGGTTTGTACCGTCTAGAATTTCATGGACTTGTTTCAAGGAATCTTTGTTTTTAGTGGTTTTGCCTGTGTGTCTGTGCACCATGTGAGTGCAGTACCTGTGGATACCAGAAGAGGGCATCAGATCCCTCAGAACAGCAGTTACAGACTAGTGTGAGCTGCATTATGGGTCCTGGAAATCAAACCCAGACTTTTTGGTAGTATTTTGGGGGATGGGAGGTAGTTAGAGCATAAGGGAAGAAAGGTAACTTTATCAGGGTCTCAGACCGATGAACCGAACAGATTAAGAACTGATGAGTCATATAAGAAAGCTTAAACTGAGCCAGAAAAGTGTACAATGAAAAAAGTGACTATTCTTTTTTTAAGCATTTTACTTATTACTCCTTTTTTAAGTATTTTGTGTGTATGTATAGCTATGTACCATGTGCATGCCTTGTGCCCATGGAGGCCAGAGAAAGCCTTGGATCCTCAGGAATAGGAATTACAGACCGTTGTGAGCTGCCATGTGGGCCCTGTGGAGGAGCAGCCCGTGCTGAGCTGTCTCTGTAGCACACAGTGTACAAATGTAAATTTTTCAGCTATTTATTATCTATATCTATCTATAAATAATAATAATTATTTATTATTATTTATCGGGGGTCTCGTTCTGGGGAAGGTCAGAGTACCCCCTGTGGGAGCGAGCTGTCTCCCCGTGTGGGTTCCAGCAATAAGGTTCAGGCTGTCAGGCTTGGCGGAAGGCATCCTGAGCCATCTCAGCAGCCCAGAAGTGTGCGGTTTTACACTTGAGGGGATGATGATGCCTGGCCTACACCCAGAATGCATTGTCAAGTTGTAGCTAAATGCATCTCTGCTCTCAGGAGAGACAGCCCAGTTGACAGAATCGGCAAGTACCCCCGGAAGGCAGAGCCTGGCACTCTCCCAGAACTTTTCAAGGGCTTTTCCCGTGTCTCAACGAGAAGGGCCTCCCCAGGCCATGTTTTAAGTATTCCTTTCCTAGTTGCTGGTGCCATTTTGGGAAGCTGAAGAACTGAAAGACATACAACCAGCCTGACAGGCTAGTGAGGGCGGTGGGCCTTCCAGGGCAACACTTGGCCCTGAGGTTCCTGGTGTGCTCTGCTTCCTGGGTCGCCACGATGAGAACAGCCTCTGCCACACTCTTTCCACCGTGAACTGATCCACCACACCTCCCAGCTGGGATGCTCTGAAAGCCTCGGAAATCATGAGCCAAAATAAATCTTTCCTCCCTTGAGTGTTTCTATCAAGTATTTTGGTCATAGCACTGCAAGACTAACAAAAATTTTTAGCAGATTTTTTTTTTCTTCAGTAAATTGAGTTTGATGGTCTGATTGGCATTTGGTGTGTTCATGAATGGGATAGCATTAAGCAGAAAAGCTCCATGGAGCAAATGAGCCTTACAGACAGAAAGCAAGAAACAGAAGAGCCAGTTGGCTCTTCATAGACGTGTCCTTTGTGTGGGGCAAAGCAGTGTTGCTTTAGCATGCTAGTGCAGGTTGGCTGGCCGCCTTCTGACTGTTGGCTGAACCTCCCGGTTTAAAAAATACACCCTAACTGGTCAGGTTTAAAGTGCAGTTTGACTGCTTAGCACCTAGCTGGAGTGGCTTCATTCTGGTTTGCTCTGTTGAAGCCTAATACAGGAACTTGGCTAAAATGAGAATTGACACTCCCCACCACCATACCCCCTGACTCTGCAGCTAAGTTTAGTTCAGGCTGAGGCCCTGGCTAGCCCGAAACTTGCTGTGTACGCCAGGGTGGCCTTGGCTGTGCAGCAGTCTGCCTGCCTCTGCCTTCTGAGTGCTGTGTTCACAGGTGTGCCGTCACACCCAGTCACCGCCCATGATTTCCCATATGCCCAGTTCATGCTTCCTTTCCTCTCTCATATTTCTAGACCACTGCCACAGGTCACGGCTCTCTTCTTGTGCTGCCTCAGCCGGAACTAAACTGAGCCACAGTCAGAGTTATCTTCAGGCTGGCCTCTGCATTATCTCTAGGTACCCTGAACCAGTTCCCGAATCGCAAAGCTAGAAATAGCTGCTCTGAGTTAGACAAAAGCAGGCGCCTTGGTCGGTGTGAAAACCCCGAGTGGTGTGGCACGCCTTCCCAGAGCTGCTGAACCAAGCTGGGGCCTGAGAAACCTGGAGCTGAGTGCTAGAGACGGCGTCAGGGGGCTGCAGGAGGGGAAAGGGCCAGTCCTCCACTCTGTCATGAAGAAGGAGCTCAAAGGCCAGCAAGGTGGTTCAGAGGGTAGGGACACATGCTGTGCAGGCCTGGTGTCCTGAGTTCAATTCCCGGAACCCATGGAATGGTGGAAGGAGAGACCCGGCTCCACAGAATTGACCTCGGGCCTTCACATGTGTGCACACACACTCTCTCTCACACACAGAGACACAAACAACAATAATAAAATACTTAAAAGGCATCACAAAAGGTTTTCTGATACTCTCTGGGGAATATTACAAATTTTCACAAGCCCTGTGATGGCTCCTCTTGCTTGTCAACTTGACTACATCTGTAATTAACTAAAACCCAAGCATCTGGGTGCACCTGTGTTGGATTTTTTCCTTAATTAAATCACTTGAAGTGGGAAGACCCACTTTGGATCTTTTGAGGTGGGAAGATCCACCTTTAATCTTTAACCTTTAATCTGGGCCACATCTTCCACTGGCAGCGTTCGTGGAAGGGACATGGAAGAAGGAAGCCCTTAATCTTTGATGCTTGCTCTCACTGGCCAAGTCCATTCCTTCACGGACATTAGAACCTGCTTCATGATTC